GCCCATTTGTTACCTTTCCACTGCTGTAGTACTGCTCCGACATACGTATCGGAGGCGTTGCAAACCAGGGTGATGCGGGCGTCACTGTAGAGCCTCTTTGCACATTTGAAATGCCTGCTCAGCCTCAGGTATCCATTCAACAGGGCGCTAATCGTTCTTCCTAACCTCATGCAGGTAGCCGTTGAGAGGTTTCTGTAGATGCGCAGCATTCTGGACGCAAGTGGGATAGCACTTTAGCATGGCTAAGAACCGCCGAAGACCCTTGATGGTGGTAGGTTTCGAGTAAGATATGATGGCTTCGATGCGTTGATCCAGAAGCTTGATACCATCTGCTAATACCCTATACCCCAGGAAATCAATATCTGGTTGGCCGAGGCCGCATTTGTCTTGGTTGACAGTAATTCCAAACTCATTCAGGCGACGCATTACCTGACGGAGGTGGTCTTCATGTTCTTCAGCTGATAAAGAAAACACCAAAATGTCATCCAGATAGGCGAATCTAAAATTGAAGTCCCCGTGAGCTTGGTCCATTAGGCGCTCAAAAGTTGCAAAAAAAAACTTGCATTCCTCAACCCTGTGCACATGCGGACAAATTCATATAAACCAAAGAGAGTGGAACTAACTGCTTTTGGAATATAGGTTTCGTTAATTGGGACTTTGTCGAAGCCTTGCACAGGTCGAGACAGGAAATAATGTTCTTATCATGGAGAAGAACATTGAAGTCCAGCAATAGAGGAAAACTGTAGCGGTCTGCAGTCGTACGCTCACTCAGCCGCCAATAGTCTCCACAAGGCCTGATGGTTCCATCCTTCTTGGGAACGATGTGCAGAGGTGATGTCCATGGACTCTTCGACAGTCTAATAATCCCCCTCTCCATTATGCGACGTAACTCCTGCTTGGCTGCCTGGTAACGCTCTGTCGAGCGCTTAACAAGCGTGGAGCCTTAGGTACCATTGGAGGACCTGTAGTCTCTATGTAGTGCAGGATTGTATGCTTAGGTTGCGGATGAGTTGAGGCTATGCTGGATTCCGCCATCTCCAGCAGTACATCTAGTTTTCCGTCGCCTTGTGCTGCTTCATGTAAGAACAGTGCCTTGTACATTTCCTAGCTTGATCTCCGAACCGGTCGTGGTAGAAATAGTAGTTCGAGTTACGGCTATGAGAGCGGGATTGTTGTCGCTGGCTACTATCGGGCCGGGAGTTGCTTGATCCTCTTAGCTGGAGTTAGGCTACCTGTTTAGTTAGTTGGATTGGGCCTCGAGTCGCTTTAGTTGCGACCAATAGCTAGAAGATGGTGTTGCAATAGTATCAATTTCAACAGGGAGATGGACTTCCTGAATCCTGTCAGCCACAGGAGCTAACTTTTCTAGCCTTAACCTATCGGAAGGAGAGAGGATTACCTTATTGTTACCAGCCTTGCTTCTTCCTCGAATCCTGATAATACAAAAAATAAAATAACGCTTGCCAATTAACGAAAACATAAAAGTTGCAGCTCCAGCACAAATAATACAATACAGCGGGGGACCAGACAATTGTTATACCGCTAGTCGGAAATTGCACATTTTTTACGTTAGCGACTAAACTGCAATTTTCTATCACTCTAACTGTCTTTTTTTATATCACCTGTTTTAAAAAACTGAATCGATATTTTGTATTGAGCATGGGCCATCGATTGCTCAAAGAGGTTGGGAGAAGTAAAGCTGGATTAAAAATGCTGCACTGATTATTGAAGGCATCATGGTGTCACAAGAGGAGTGTAGTAACCTGTTAATAGTGTAGATAGCAAAATAAATATCTTACATAGAACAGTATATACACATCGAAGGCTCAAAAAAGGTTCAAAATGATGTAAGATGATGTAAGAAATATAGGTTGGAAGTTTAACTTTAATCATCAAGGAAATTTTAACGTTTTGCAAAAAGGTACAAAAACATTAGTACTTATAATAACTAAAAGAGAGTACCTATTTATAGATTAGTCTTATTCATGTTGGAAATGCATTAAAATGGTGTACATACCTTCTTCTGAAGATTCCATAATTAAAAACATCAGAAAAAACTTCAACTTAGTCCTAGAAAAAAGGATGTGAAGATCATCAACTTTCGAATGCTTATTTCATCATTCAGCATCAGCTATACAAATTATTGATGCATACCATTCATTGTAGCTTATTGAATGCACTATGCCTGGTAAATTTTAATAGACCTCTTTATTTCATATAGAAATGTAATAAAATATTACAACGAAAAATTGCATTATTAATAAAATTTAGAAAACTACCAAAATAAATAAATAAAATTACAAAGTTGAAATGAATATAAGCTTTACTCACTATAATTACAGCTTCGGAATACCGGCTATTCTTGCACATTTAGTTATCTCGGCGTTCCGGGATTAACGTATTCGTAAACAATCATTTGAGGACTCCATTTTTTTTTCTGCCCGACGTTGCTGCCATACGGGGTTTAGGCAATAGTGGAAAAATAGTTTGTCAACCATGAATGTTCTATGTGATTCTATAGCGGTGCAGGTTATCACCAGATGTTTGATTGTGTCCGCGGTTCTGCAATCAGGACATAAAAGGCCTATTCTTTCCATGTTTTCTGTGCTTGTCTCTAACCCGTCCCCAGGTCCAGTCAGGAGTTGCGAGGACCAATAGTCCAGCATCAACCATTGTACTTGCAATATGGCGTGGACGGTGGGGAAGACGTTCCTCAGTCTCTGGATACCAGGGTGTCCATATTCCTCTTCTGCTGCTAGTTAAGATGGCGACACCATTATACTATGTTATATAGTAGTCGTTGGTGACCTCAGGGTTTCACGCCTCCTAGAACTAAACAACAACTATCTTATATTAGGGGTGCGTATCTCATTATACCGAGCACAACTTCCTTATCGATGATTCTTGTCATTGAGTATCTTATTATACCCAGCACAACATCCTTATGGATGATTTTTGTCACAGAGTATCTGAGTCCCCAAAACGTACCCTCTCCCAAACTCGCGAGGACATTTAGAGATAGGGTCACCCTATCCTGGTGGTACCCGATTTGCAAGGGGGAAGACTGTTGTGTCTCGATTGTATTATCGATTATTTAGTGATCCTTGCCTTTGTGTTACGTTCCTAGTTTATTCAGTTATTATAGTCACGATGCTAATGTGTAATAGTCTATTGTTTCTCTCAAAAATAAGTGTATAAGTATGCTGCGTTTTACTGATTATCCACCAATCTAGACGTAACAAAGAGCATCTAATTTTGCCCTGAATCTCACGCCTAGTTATGAAACTTCCTCACCTAAGCGGAATCTGTCTCCTCCCTCGTCCAGGCTTATAGGGGAGCCCTGTTCTTGAATCCATTCAGCACAATGGCCTGGGTTTTTGCTGCCACCATCCTCATATTCTTTGCGGCACACCATTCTTCGATTATGGTGGCACATCTCTCCCCTTCTCGGGACAGCCTCATCCTGCTATTAACGGCCAACATTACTAGTAGATCGTCCACTTATGCAACGGAAACGAACCGTGCCACCTGTCTAATACCCTCGGAAACTGATAGAACACCAACTTCTTGATTGAGCCCTGTCGACATTTCCTTTCAGTCTTCCTCTTAATCTTCCTCTCAACCTCCTCATAGGTACGCGGGTTAGGGTGCGGGACCCTAGCTCTCCTGTCACTGACGTACCCACAAACTAAGGATTACAAGTTTTGCTGGGGATCTCAAACTGCTGAAGTCGCTGAAGTACGCAGGGCCACAACACACTATCAAAGGCAGAGGATATATCAAATTAGACCATCATAATATATTTATTCACCTCTCTCTATATATACCCACACACCCGCATTAGGGCATTTCCGATCTCTCTACTTTTCCTGGATCCAAACTACCTCAGTTGAATCGCTACCCGTAGGACTCTGACCTCAGGCTCTTAACAATGAGGTGATCCAGGACATTGCTCATAACGAGAGGTATATCGGCATATAGTTTGGTTCTTGCAAATGATCTTACTACTTAGGTGTTTGAATTCGTTAAAGCTCTTGAATCTCCTATTGCCCATCCTCGTTCCCCCTCCTGTCATCTGGTATGTTCTTTATGTCCACAAGTACATACTTAGTCTGTATTAATTTCAGAACCAATTCTGCAGCTTCCCAGAGGAATTTTTCAAGAGCGCCTGCAGTGCTGTAATGAGCCCTTCGTCTGCATATGCCAAATTGCTAACTGTTTGTCCTTTCCTACCCCCTTATACAGCAGTCTTAGGTCGGCGATATTCTATTAGGCAGGGAAGTGCCCCCTGTATGGATATATATAATCATAATCTCTAACAGCTCTTCTTTAGAGTTCAAGTAACCTTCTAATCCTCTGCCTGTCTATCACCATCCACAGGTCACATACTTCCCATGGCGGAATGAATTCCGTTATCCCTGGGGTATCTCTGGTCCTGTGTGGCTGATGATCGTCGGCCCAGCTTGAGCTTGTGCAAGGCCAACCTTTGTTTTATTGTATTTACAGTTTATAACCATCAAATCATGTCACAGGTCCGCGACGGCACTAGAACAGTGGAATCTCTGCCCACCCACTCGACTAATGTTTGATTATCGCTGCCAGTGTACTTTTAGATTATATTCAGAATGGGCAGTGTGTTTTCATTTAAAAATTACTAAGATCATAAGAAGTATCGGGAACTGAAATACATTATTATTTCAATAAAACATAAATGAGCTATTTTTAAGTTCTTTTGATTTTCAGATTTTATTTTGTTGCCTAATAAAATAAAACTAAACATAAAAAATAATTAGTAGGACACAGCACTACAAAACTTTATAAAAAAAAAATAATGCATTGGTTATTTTTTTTTGCTCGTACCTTATAATTTTAATAAAGCGATGTTAAAATACTAAACCTATTGCTTGGGCTGTACTAATATTTTGTATTTCTTTTACAGAGATTAGTGTTTGAGCGTCGGATGTTGGAGCTTGCGACCCGATAACGACCCCGAGCTTGCGATGGGGGTTGCAGAGGACTTCGCCCCAAGCTTCACCCAAAAACCGCAGCTGCGGCAGGAGGATGAGGGTAACCGCCTTGTATTCGAGTGTAAAGTACTCTGTTCTCCTAAACCAGAAATAACATGGTTTCGTAGTGACACAAAACTTATCGAGGACAATAGAACTTCTATTAAAGTACAATCAATAGGGACAAATTTATATGCAGTGGTTTTAGAACTTGATGATGTGATAGAAAGTGACGCAGGGCTTTATAAAGTTAAGGCCAAAAATAAATTAGGAGAAGTTGCTGCATCAATAAACCTCAACTTTAGTCGTAAGTATTTTAATTAAGATATTTCTTATTTTGAGTGTCTCATTTCTGTTCTTTATATATATATATATATATATTATTGGAAAATATTAATATGCTATTATGATGATGAATCATTATTCATACCGGAATATAAAAGATGAATAAAACAAAAACTGGTACTGCTACTGCTACTGGTGGGGAGAGCTAGTCCGACAAGATAGCCCTATAGTGGTTCTTTTTGCCAACCTGTGACTGCTATCTTGAGGTTGCCGCGGCATACTTACCGGAGTGGGAACATCACGATCCATTATCCGGGATCGCATACTAGGGCGAGCTAACGCTGCTGTTGGAAGTTTTACTGCATTAGTAACAAACTGATATTGTTTCCCCTTCATGACCAGCAATTTTTAACTTAATTATCGCATCAATAATGCCGTGATGTGAAATAATAGAAGTAGAAATGAAAATCATATTTTTTTTTTATATTTAGATCTGGTTTGCCGGTATTTTTTGTTCGAACCTAACGTCATGTGCTGGGCAGAATTAGGTACTTCTAGTGGATCTTAAGACAGCCGAAACATTGTTTTTTAAAAATATATATAGTTGTTATGACATTTCAAACAATTTTGGTACATTTCGGAAATCACCCGATATCGCCCGAAAAACGTGACAGACTCTATTTTTAATTATGGTTTTAAGTTCTAAAAAGTAAGACCTGGCACTTCGGAAATTAATCTGGACTTAACACGCGAGATCGTTGAATTTTGAGTGACTTCCATCACTTTTATTTATTTTTTTTACTATACGTATTCTAGTTAATATCGACCCAGTTTTTGATTAAATGACTGACCAAATCATAAACGTATCACGAGTTTCATAGCTAAGCTTCAAGAAATAAAGACAAATAAAAAAAAATTGTTTTTATTATTAGATACATGTAACTTATATATTTATATTTTATTATAATTTATTCATTTTATTATAATATAATGTTATGAAATAGGTAATAAATTATACAATATCTGAACAATGTAATGTTTACAATACAAACTACAAGACACTGATTTTAAGCAATCTATTTGTATCTACCTCGAATATTTTTACAATGTTTATTTTATGTGAAATGCTTGTACTTGAAATACTTATATTGCATGAAATAATAATTTTACACGAAATACTTATTATTTAACATAAAATATCTGATATAAAAAGCAATTAATAGGTAAGAGCAACAATGTCGAAAAATATTTTGTTCATTGAATATTTGTTTTACATAAATCAAAATGGAAATAGAACTGTTTATGACGTTTAAAAATGTTGCTAACATTTGGATAAATACAATATTTTACATTCTATACAATATATTTGACATGTTACATTTATTTGATAGGAAGAAAAAAAAATTAAGTAAGTATCTATGTCAGTAGACAGATTGAACTTTTCAAGTTCCTATAGACCTAATTAGTCAATCATTAATAATAGCAGAGTCATATTTAAAATGTTGTTAATCGATTTCTATTTCATCAGATCAAGTTTACGACCTAAATAAATGTACAATATCACAGGAAGCAAAAAGTTTGTGTTCTAAAAGTGAATTTGAAAGTGAGTTGAAAATTAATTTTATTAAATTCTACACACACACACACACACTGTATTGCAATTTCAAAGTAAGTTAAAGCTTATGTCCAAAGAACCTTACCCAATGTGGGCGCCGAGAAATGTAGTAGTAAAAGTAAACGGCATTAAGATGGGAATCGAAACCACAACTTTCAGAACCAGGCACTTTGGGACCCACACCCCGACGTGTTCGACCATCCCGTCTTTTAATAAAAACTAACAGGGTAACAACGTAAAATACATATGTACAAAAACAAACTCCTGATCATAGTCACACATATTGACGTTATGTTTGAAATCACCTGAGCTCAGCTCTTACCCCACTTTATCGCGTGCAAAGAAGGACTCCAGATGATTCCTCCGCCTACCCGTATTAAAATACAGTGAAGGCTGATTTCCCCTTGATTATGTGCACAGGGTAACACTCCAGTATTCGCACCTCTACATGTTGCATAAGTAGTGTAGTCGCATGTCATCTGTGAGATGCCTTTTCTTTTTTATCCAATAATACTCACAATATTACTTTTAATATTATAGAAAATCGTTAAAATGATTGAAATATTCAAATTTCTAATCATAGAGGCTTGATAAATATAAATAAATAAAACAATAAGGGATTTTTTTAAATGTAAAATATTGAACAGAGAGGTCAATACAAATATTTTATAGAAAAAGTAAAGGAAGTAAAATGATTCTGGAAAACTAAATTTCTAATAATTATCTCAAAAGAGCAAAACAAAGCTAATTATCATTTTAAAAACAATTTAATGAATACTTACAATAGTAGCCACGTGGGATCTTAGAGATGATTCCGCTAATAAATCAATAAAACTTGACAAGAAAAAAACCGCAACAATACTGGCATGTAGCTGTCACTAGGCCAGAAGGATAGCAGGGGAGAAGGGTTTTCAGGTTTGAACAGGCACTGGCCACACTCACAAATATTTCTCAGATGACATGTGACTACTGGAGTGTTAAGCATGAATGAAGAAACTGGGCACAGCCATGGACTCCATGATAATACAAATAATGTCCCCGGATAATAATGTCGCTTAAATTGTTGTGAAGAATTACATGCATTAGTGGATTTGGAAAATGATTGAGACTAAATATTAGTACGATTGCATTGTTTTTGATTGAATTTTTAAAAAATAGGTGGGTATGAGAGGATGATTGTATATGAAGGCAATTACGAAGGGTTTATATTACCCGGAGCCAGGGCCCAAAAATCGACCTGTTCGCAGACGAAGGTTTGATTGTAAATTACGAAATTGTATGTTATTCTGAGTATAAGGAACCTTGTCTGCCGTTCCAGAGCCGCTGCTTTAAAAAATGGCGGCTAATTTAAAGAATATTATGCCAATTATTTCAGGATCGAAGCGGGAAATCCATTGCGAAAAATGTAAGAAAAGTTTTCTAAACAAAATCAAAAAATAAAAATTTTTCTCACATTTTTCGCAATGGATTTCCCGTTTCGATCCTGAAATAATTGGCCTAATATTCTTTAAATTAGCCGCCATTTTTTAAAGCGGCGGCTCTGGAACGGCAGACAAGGTTCCTTATACTCAGAATAACATATATATATATGGGTTTAGAAATATAAAAAACAAAATTTCTAAGGCGGGCCACCAAGGGAAAATGTTTTATAGCCAAGAAAGTGAATTTTTTTCGATATATATTTTTTTCATCATTGCATCTATAAACGATGCATCAAAGCGAAAAATGTATTCTTTAATAAATTAAAGAACATTAAATTTTGTGTGAAACGAGTACATAAACTTTGTAATTCGGTTACGCGGTAAGGTATAAAACCTCGGTCAACAAACGCTGATTTTTACCCAATTTGTCAAGACCTGAGACAAATTACTATAAATGGCCCTGTAACTTGGAAATGAGTTCCCTAACAGGAACAATCCATAAAATCAAATTTGTAGAGCATCAAATTTTGCGTCAGCTGAGTACCAACTAATTTAATGTAGGTTACTCACTGCGAACAAAATTGGAGATACTCAGATACTGTGCGAAAATATTAACTTATTAGGTTAGAAATTGGTAATGAAGGTAAACGTGATTTTCAATATTTCAACAGTATGGGTGTCTATTCTACTGAGTTATTTTTGTTTAGAGTCTGTTACATGCAGTATGAGCCTCTTTTCCACCTCTCAACAGCAAATGAATTTGGTAAACTATGTGTCGAAAGATACCGAATTTTATAAAGAAATAACGAATCCCGATTCAAGATATAGTTGGCCTACAATAAAACTGTCAGTACTTAATTGACGCAAAATTTGGTGCTCTGCAACTTTGATTCTATGGGGTTTTCCTCTCAGAGAACTCATTTCCAAGTTACAGGGCCATTAATAGTAATTTGTCAAAACCTGAGACAAATTATGCAAAATTTGATGCTCTACAAATTTGATTTTATGGATTGTTCCTGTTAGGGAACTCATTTCCAAGTTACAGAGCCATTTATAGTAATTTGCCTCAGGTTTTGACAAATTGGGTAAAAATCAGCGTTTGTTGACCGAGGTTTTATACCTTACCGCGTAACCGAATTACAAAGTTTATGTACTCGTTTCACACAAAATTTAATGTTCTTTAATTTATTAAAGAATACATTTTTCGCTTTGATGCATCGTATATAGATGAAAAAAACAAAAAATTTAAATTGATCAAAATAACTTTTAAATAAATGCATATATATCACAATTCATTTATTGATGGGTTTTAAAGTCCTTGAAGAACTATGGTCTCTGCTTAAGTATTCTTCCACATGTCCCAGTCAGTTACGAAACATCTCTTTCAGGTTACCTTCCAAACCGTCCAACCATCTGAGCCGAGGCTTTCCCCACCTTCTTCCGTTCCGCGGCTTTCCATTGAGAAGTTATCCAGGAATTCTTATAGGGTCCATCTTTTCCACATGCCCCAACTACTGCAATCTATTGAGTTGAATGACTCTCACACTATCTTGTTTACCACATTACTCCTTTAGCTCCAGGTTAGACCTCATTCTCCATTGATTCTACAGTTTAATTGGCACATCAATTTTTCGAAGTAATTTTGTTCCTCGTACCTGGAATATCCATTTGCGTTCTTTAGTCATGGACCATGGCAAGCTTACATATGTCACGATTGAGTGGTCTCATATCAAAGAAGGTCATTTTTATTTTCAGAAAGTTGAGAAAAACTCAATTTTTTTTTGCTAGGTTTAACCTAAAATTTTTCTGATCGTGCTCTGAGGTCAGATTGAAATTTAATTTTTATTTGATCACATTGGTACTACGAGCCGTCTCTGGAGCCCTGGCAGCGCTTTGGGTGGACAGTAAGAGTGCTTGCACTGATTGGACCTGGAGGTCTTGGTGGTCGTGTGTTTGCTGAACGACACCAGTGTTCACCTGGTCGTGACAAAAGTCCAACCAGC